CGCCCCTACCATCACCGTCCCATCTGCCTCACCCTGTCCGTCCTCACCTCCTCCGTCCCCGACCCCCACCTCAGACAGCCCTGACGTTTCTCGTTCACCCTGACTTGCTTACGGTTCACCACACACCAGCACGCTACGCTTCCATTCCGCCTACGCATCCCACCTCTCGTCGCTCCAGCTGGCCTGAGTTTCTTCGTTTCGCCTTCTTCGCTTCGCTCGGCTTTTCTCGATCTGGACCGCTTGCCCCGTCTCTAAACCCCGAGCCACTTCCATCTTCGCCTCGCCTCGCTGCGCCACCCCATGCACTGCGGCCCCCAAGTTTTTTTTCCAGCCAACTTTAGAGTGCTTACTGCGGCTCAGCTGCTCGAAATATCGAACACGTTTAGTAGACAAAATATGCTTATAATTGACCTACCTTTTTTTTGAAGTTTCGTTGTTTTCTCCCGGGTCACCTGTGTATAGAGAATGTCCGGGGAAGAAACATCGAAACTTTGCAAACAATTTCGTAAATAAATTTTAAGCATATTTTCATTTAGTAAGCTACGTGGGTATTCCGAATGGTTGAGTCGCAATAAGCACTCAAAAGTTGGTTTGAAAAAATACTTTTTAGGCAAAAATGTGCATAGCAGAAGCGCAGAATCACTCCAGAAGCATATAAACTGTATATTATTTACAAAATCATTAATATATTTGTTTAGAAAGTAGCATAAACACAGAAATTTAAAAAAGCACCTAATTTACACAATTCAACTGATTTTTTTTATTTCTCGCTAAATTTTAATTTATGAACAAATATATTCATTTCTTTTGCAAATAAACTATTTACATGTTTCTGGAAAGTTTATATGCTACTCCATCGCAAATTTTTCCATAGAAACAATTTTCCAAACAATCATTTAAGTGTTTATTTCGGCTCAACGGTTCCAAATATTCACGTAGTTAATCAGACAAAAGATGAAGATGAAGAATGGACATAAAAACTTATTTGCGAAGTATCGATGTTTCCTCCCCGGACTCTTTGTATATTGAAACATGTGAGAAGCCTAGGTTACTCCGCATTCAAGAGTTCGAACTTGGCGGCCTGCGCGCTTTTCTTCCGGCGCCTTCAGGTGGTAGGGGTCAGCTTTTACGGGCAGAGGGGTAGGGGACAGCATGACGCAACATTCACGTGCTGAGGGAAGAGGGACAGGTAGCTGACAGGCAGAAAGGCAGGGCACGGCAACTCTCCAACAAAATTGGGAACAAAGAGGATGCTACTATAGGATGCGCTAGTGTCGCCAGCTACAGCTGCTGGTAAGGTTCGCCAACTTTCGCACATAAAAAATTGGCCAAGAAATACAAATACACTTTGATTATGAGCGACTTCTGAAACAAATTTCAAAATAAGTTAAGACTAGGTGTTTATCTTCTAAAATTTATTTATTCATAATGATACACGCATGAAAGAAAACGTTACGCGAACAGCGGCACGATCTTTTGTATCAAGCGCGCGTTTTTGCGTCTCGAGAACCCACGCACGTTTTAAATAACGTTGGTAGCAGTTCGCATTTTAGTTCGTGTAAGAAGTTGATGCTCTAGAGCGCGCCACTGTAATGTGGCGCGCTCTAGAGCGGCGTTATATGGGAGTTAGGTTTCGGACGCGTGAGCAGAAAGAGGTTGAGGGAAGTAAGCAGTTGGGGCAACAGTGGTCGTGCGCGTGACGTAAGGAGCAAGTGGGAAGAAACTATAATAGAACTGCCACGCTCTTCGATCTTCTGTGCTGGAGCACCGAGCCACCTGCAGCGTGGCCACGGCGATGCTGCGAAGGAACTGCGGTGCTGCGCCTCGATCCAAGATTTGAGTCGCCGGTCCACCCCAACGTCGCAGTCTCCGTCGTTGCGGATCCAAGATCCCAGTCAGAGGTCGGTAGCACCCGCAAAATTATATCTTCCTTTCTTTACCACGGGCATGTCACGGCTACGAGAAACTTTGAGAGAGTTTGGCACGCCGGTGAGATATACCTGGCTTTTAACTGTGATCGCATACTGCCCCGAGCAGTTGTTTCAACATGGTCCATGTGATTGAGCGTGGCGTCCTCTTCCAGTGCATTCACTAACATTATCATCGACAAATATGAAAATTTATTACAGTTTGATATGATTATTTATTATTAATTTATTAATTCTTTCAACATGGTGCATGTGATAGAGCGTGGCATCCTAATTCAGTGCATTCACTAACATTAGCATAAAAAAATATGAAAATTTGTTAGTTTGATATGATTATTTATTATTAATTTATTAATTCTTTCAACATGGTACATGTGATAGAGCGTGGCATCCTAATTCAGTGCATTCACCAACATTAGCGTCAAAAAATATGAAAATTTGTTACAGAGCGTAGGCAGCCTCATTTTTGCTGCGTGGCCACGCCACATCGCTGCTGCGAAAAACCGCGGAGCTGACCGTACATGCATGTTCTGCATCGCCGGCTCACCCCGCCGTCGCAGACTCCACGTCGTTGGGAGGGCAACGCCCCGAGCAGAGGTCGGTAGCAACCGCATTGCTTTGCCACGGACCTGAGAAAAACGTGTGCGTCAAGCGTGCGGTAAGACATAACCGGCATTTAACGGTCTTCACCTACTTCCCCGAGCCAGTTGTTCAACAAGAACGTGTTGTGATTACGCGTGACATCCTCTTCCAGTGCACTCTAGCATAGGCATAAGCAAATGTGTAAATAATTTAATATGTCGCCGGTCCACCCCACCATCACAGACTCGATCATCGGAGTCCAAGACCCGTAAGGCTGGTAGCAACCGAATTTCTTACCTCCCTTTCTTTTCCATGGGCATGTCTCGGCTTCAATAAACTTCTAGTTTGCCTAACCGGTGAGACATAGCTGGTATTTAACTGTGTTAACATAGTGCCCTGAGAAATTATTTCAACAAGAATGTGTTGTGATTGCACGTGGCGTCCTCTTCCAGTGCACTCACTAAAATAAGCATAAACGAATATGTAAATAATTTAATACAGAGTGTAGTAACCCTCGTTTATGATGTGTGGCCACGTCGCAACCACGTAATGGCTGAAATGTAGTATACGGTAAAACCCAAGGAAGTAGTTTAACCTGGCACTTCGCGCCGTTCCGGCGTTTACAAGGCAGTTAGAATTCTGGAGGCTTTCTTGAAAAGTGATGTCTTATAAAAGTGAATTGGTAATTATGTGTTGGATGCACTCAAGGATGTTTATAGTGAACGCGAGGGCCGAAGGCCCGAGCCTCGCCGTGACTTGGATCCGGGCGAGCGAAGCGAGAAAACTGGCCTTTGAAAGTATATTGGCATTTCAATGTGTCGGGGACAAAGCATATGAAGGGCGAACCATGAAAATCGCATATCCGTAAGTTTTATTCATTTCTGTTAGAGCACGTACAGTAATTAGGGTTTAAATCCCGCCGCCACGCTTCTCTAAAGGTGTACCGTATCCTAAATTTTAACCCTCGTAATAATCACGGAGGTGCGCGTAGATCCAAGAGTTCTGCCACGCCGGCCCACCCCACCATCACAGACTCCATCGTTTGGGGTCCAAGACCCTGGACAGAGGTCGGTAGCTACCGCATTTCCGACCTTCCTTCTCTTCTTTGCCCCGGTGCAGCCGCGGCTTCATGAAACTTTTGAGTTCAAGCTGGTATGACATAATCGGCATTTAACTGTGTTCGCATTGTACTCCGAACAAATATTTCAACAAGAATGTGTTGTGATTGCGCGTGGCGTCCTCTTCCAGTGCACTCAATAATATTAACATAAACACAAAATTTAATACAGAGTGCAGTGAGACTCGTTTATCAAAAAAATTGTTAAGAGCTCAAAGGGAGAACGTAACTTTTTTAACTTTGCATGCTTGATGCTTGGTTCTTTTATTTTTCATCATTGAGTAGCTTGTCGCATTCAATGAAGTTCGACATATGTGGAATTGGATGAAATAAAAAAAATTATAAACTCACAACTAATCCTTGAGTAATAAAGAGCATTATACTAATTGTTAACTTGAGATTTTCTCCTCCTTTGAGAGGATTAAGAGATGTAGCGGGTGTTCCAGTCCATAAAAAAAGAACAATTACGTACTCGCACTACTACTAGAGACATTCCATGTTATCATATGATTTTTGAATGTGCTCTGATGAGTGTTTTTCCTTGCTCTAATGTATGTAAGATTTTAATGTATGTTATTAATTTGTAAAAATAACGTTGAAGTCCAATTACACGAGTTTTCTGTGGGCATAATTTCGTTTTTGCTGTCTCGTATACGTGGTAATATACGTAGTATAGAGAAAGTTATAATGCTGCAGCAAAAGGCGTTTTTTTGACACAAAATCTCGAATTGGGGCTCTGAAACGTCGCAAATTGGGGTCGTGATACTAAAGCGCCAACTTGATACAGAAAAAGGGGATAAATCGTTTTCCAAAATGTAGTAAAATATTCCCTCTAATAAATTATATAGTCTGGTTTCAGAAACTGTGGATCGTTGATACCGAAAGTGTTTTGTTTTTTTCAAAACGTACGTCAGTCTGAGAACACCTCTAGCGCCTAAACTATAAGTAAGATATTCTTCCTGGAATTGGAATATTTTCTACCCTTGCATTTAAATCGCCACACATAAGAATGTGATACATTTTATTTATTTATTTATTTAATTATTTTTGAAGATTATATATATATATATATATATATATACATATACATATATATATACATATATATATATATATATATATATATATATAAGAAATATTTGCTGGCCTCGTGTGGCGTACTCCCTCCTTTGGTGTCCTTACGTGTCATATTACTCATACAGTTACCCCAATGTAAACAATCACAGTGATCGCTAAATGACTTTGTAATTAAAGGTAAATTAAGATATTAGTAATTGTAGATAAGTGTTTTCCTTGAAATACAATGTTCTCCATAATTAGCTCTTTCATTAAAGTCGTGCACATTTTTTTAAAAAATATTAGGGATAGCCTTACCACAGCATTACCACAATATTGCGTGAAATATTTGCAATATTAAAAAACAAAATAGAGGGATTTATCAAACACTGTTCCAATTTTTCATTTAATTTTTGGCAGGGAATGAAGGAGTGCTAAATAAACTGTAACAGATGACATAAACTTCATTTATATGTATTCTTAAATGTTTACAAAAATTACACTATGTAATTTTTTGATATCTCACGTCGTTAATATTTGTACTATTTAGAATTTGATAATTATTACATTGAGTGCATGTGTTTTAAATTACGTCTTTTAAAGTATTTGGAAAGTTTTGGTCTCAAATTGCTGCAGTTTCAGAAACTCTCCAACGCCATTTTCTCAAAAACGACTCTTTACGGACGTGTGGACTTTAAAGACGTTCTTTACGGATAGTGCGAAATACGCACTATATAATGAAATGAAAGCCATTTTGCTGTATTGTTTTTTAAAAATTTGTTTAACAATGTTTATAAATATTTCGCGTGCCGTTAGGAGATATTTGTATAAACTATTCCATATCGAGTGGTTCAAATTAATTTTTTTGGTAAATCAGTTTTTTTCAGTGAAGAAGAGATATAAGTTTAGCATATATAGTGATGCATAAACAACAGTATCGTAAAAACGGCTCCAGCGAAAATTTCCATATAGGATGAGCTTCTCTTCTTCTATAATATTCTTAAAGTAATATTTCGGTTTTACCATTAGAGAGCAAAATAAATTAGAAAACTAACTAGTATCATAAAGTCTCGGCCATTACGTAGCTCCACTACTTTTTTGTTGTTTCAATAGTCACGATCCTACGAATGAGCCCAACCAAACCTAATCGTCTACAATATATGAGGCCGCTTACAAAAAATATAATTGAATGACTGAGCGTAAAAAAGTGTTTTCTATGTAAGAACTATATCGACATCAATAAAACAGTTTTTAAAATCGGTTCAGGAGTGCCGCAAAGCCAAACACCTCATTTTCGTCGTTTTTCCCACTTGCCACAAATAATTATTATTTATTGATATGTTTATCAACAGAGACTGAGGTAGGCTCCACGTTACTCCGCAAACAATTTAGTCTTCAAGCATATTATATAATAAAATAGTCAATATCCACTCAAAGAGTTAGAGCAGTCAGCAGGCGCGTGTTGCAACCCGTGCAACACCGAGAGTTTTCGATTTTACGTTAATGGAGGAAATATTTTGTTATATAGTATAATATTGTTTAATTTTTTTAGGATGACTGTGTTATATAGCATTAAGAATTGCTTTTTTATTTCTACGAGTAATTCTTTTTTTTTTAATTAAATATGTAATTACGAATTGAAAACTCATCTGACATTAAAATGTGCTTTGTACAGTATTAAAACATGTAATATAGTGATAATCACGCTTGTCATTGTGTTTGCAAGTGAACTGTCTATACATCTGACCCCTGAGTGTTGTTGTGGTATTCTTCACCCGTCTCAATTTCATGCATTTGCTTCGTTTTCCGTTTGATTCATCCTCTTGCTATAGTAGCATTGTTGCTACACTGGACATCTGATCCTCAATCAACTACACAACTGCCCATCTGATCCTCAGAGTCAACTAGTTTTGTGGTATTATAATGTACGATGATGAATTTATTTCTCGTAGAAGTCTGTCAGGTACATGCGTTGTTGAAAGAAGTACTATAATTCTACTTTGCTTTGGTACATATGAATTTAGAGTAAAATTATTCTGGTATCCAAAAGTAGAGGATTCTACATTTCGTGTCTTGTTAGGTAGAAACTCAGGAAGTATTTTTTTCAGTACTTACTGTTGTCAAAACAATATGTAATGGTCATTTGACAAAGTATAGATTGTTCAGTAATTGTCTGTTGCCACGTTTCTGTTGGTCTTTTGTATATGTAAATCTAATCTCACAACAATATCATCCGGAGAATTTGACACTTGATAAGGGATCTCATCCTCCTACTTTCGGTGGAGGTACTGCGCTTAGGTTTCAGGGTCACGCTGGCTCATTGAACCGATCGCGCGTTGCACTTCATTTAAATGTTTAAATGCGCGACAAAAGGTGCCAGGGAACTGTTATCGTTGTGTTGACAGATCATTACATGTTCATTTGATGACTGAAGCTCTGCTGGTGGAATACTTCCGTGGCCGCTTCCGAAATTATTCGTTAAAATACATAGGCAAAAGTGTCTGCATGTTGCACTCCGTGAAACAGTGCGCCCACTCGAGAGGTAAGCAACTTGTGACACTCAAACACACTTACTTTTTCCACAGCAACATCCCCGTTAGCTGTTCGGATGATTTCAAGAGATTTTCCTGCTGTTTTATCAAGTTTACGTTAAATTTAAGTGAATATTAGTTATATTATATTATGTTAGTGTATATTATGGAGCGTGACAGTAACGCTGGTTACTTTGACGCACGTTACGTACTATAATGGTTTGCTCGACGCACGATCTTCTTTCTAAAGCGTTGAAGCCTAAAACTGAGGTTGCTGTGCTCCCTTTGCAATCCCTACCACTTTACCTAGA